GGGGACCCCACATCCTCCTCCCCCTACGTCCTCTGACCAACGTGACATGCTAGCCGCTGTGGTGCCTATGGAAGTGGCATTCTCCATTTTATTTAAAAAAAATTTTGAATCTTTTCTGCAAGACACGAGGTGAAGGAGCAGGGCAGCAGCACTGGGCACTGCCACCTGCCCCCACCTTGCCCCAGGGCTGCCCAGCGAGGGAAGGAGTCGTGCGGGGGGTGAGAAGGTGCAGATGCTGCTACAAATGGATATGGTTGCCAAAGGGGCGGAAAGCACAGAGCCACATGCTGCAGGCCCTGTCAGCCAGGTCACGTTGCTGGAAGCCTTCTTGTGGCCTCCTCCCATAGGGATTCATTCTTCTGGTTCCAAAGGGAGCGTTAGGCGAGTGTCCTTCTCTGCCCACAACAGGGCTGGCAAAGCTTTGCCTTCCTCAACCTGCTAGCACGGCCCCGTGCTGCAGATGATCTTACTCATCCATCCCTCTGCCTCCCAGACCACCAGCACCTCCTCTCCCAGGTCCCCAGCACCCCCTCTCCCAGGCCCCCAGCACCAGTAACACCAGACTTCTCCCACTCAAATACTGTATCATCACACAGGGAGGGGGGATGGCAGGCAATCCAAATAGAGCAGCAGAGATCTGCTGCTGGCTAAAGCACGCCAGACATCCAGGCGAGATGGGTCCCTGTGACCCGGAGGGAAGGGAGGGAAAAAAGAGAGGTTACTCTGTCAGTGGTAGCATTAGGTAGCTGCCCAGACGAGGGTCACAACCCGTCACTTGTATGTTTCCCCCTTCCCTGCTGGAATTCTCTGCCGTCCGCAGCCCCGCTTCATCGGATGATGGGTGCTGAGCGGTCATTGGTGACCGTGGGACGCAGCTTGACGGTGGCAAAGGGGTTGGTACCTCTGGAGGGGGAAAGGAAACACAGGCAACCATCAGGAAATCTGCAAAGACCATGCAAGGGACCCACTGACCAAAGAAAGGCTATTTAGTTCTGCCGACAGCCACCTCCACGCCGAGGAAGTATGGTAAAGTTTTCTGCTGTATGTTTTTTTTTCCTCTCCTTAAGACACTCTGCTGCAAGTTCCCTTTGCCTCTCCTCAGGGCTTCTCACCCTCCCTCTTCCATGTAGTAACAAGGCTGCCCTTTGCGGTACCACTCTACACTTGTGGCCCCTGACCCTCCAAAGCAAGGACTCAGGGAGCAGAAAGAAACCACAGCACCATGGCGGAAGTGTGGAGACACCAACCCGGATGCAGAAGGAAGGAAAGCAGGAATTCATGGCAAGCCTCTTCTCCAGAGACCTGACTCATCGAAGGTAAAAGCCACATTCCTTATGCCTCAGCCCCTTCCAAGCAGGCAGAGCTGCATAAATCATTTAGCTCCTCACTCAGGCTGTGAGCTGCTATTGTGGCTTTTCCAGGATGGATGAGAAGGAGCATACAGGTCTGGCCATCTGCTCAGGGTGCTCAGGTCCTACCTTGTATTACCAGAGGTAGGAGAGAGCCTTCCCAGTTAGCCAGAATGGCCCACCTCTTTGGGCCCACCTCCTGTCCTAGAAGGTAAGTTGCGCATTGCTTTCCTCCAGACACTTCCCTGTTCCTCCCATGTTTTATAGTCCAAAAGATTAAATAATAGTCGTATTGTAATAATGCCCCCCAGTCTGATGATTCCAGAGCTCCGCGCCTCACTCACCGTGGGAAGAGTTCAGGGGGCTGCTCAAATACTCCTGATTTCTGCAGTGAAAAAAAAGGCAGCAGTGAGCGATCCGGGGTGGGAGGGGAATGTGAGGCAAAAGTGGGGCAGGAAACACCGCACACACGGATGGAGATTTCACGAGATACTTGAGTTAGGAGCCCAAGTCCCATATTCATTCCAACTTTTCATAATCCCACAAATTCACCACTACACCTTGATTTCTGTGGTGGGGATTATTCCTACAACACAGGCCCCCTATTCCCCTAGGACACCTCCCTTTGTCTTGGGTAAGAAAGGATGCCTCAGATCCCCAAAGTGTTATGTCTGAAGAGCACAGCAAACAGTGACAGTCTGAGCTACATTTCACTCTTCCAGCACAGCCAGAGATGCCCACCTCACGCTGCCCACACACCCTGGCAAAGAGTTTATCATCAGTGCCTTCACGTGCTTCCTGCATCCACAGGGAACTCGAGAGCTGTAGTGCTGCATCCTACCCTACACCGCATACTGCTTAAATGTGAACCAACCTGATGAAGAAAGATGGACTTAGGCCTTGTAGCCTTTATTCTTGGCCAGCAGATAATGAAGGATCAGTGACAACTGGCCTGCTAAAGTACACCAGTTTCTGTAACTGGTGGCAGACAACAGACTATCTGCGTTCCAGCTGAGAAGTCAAACATGCACCCATTTGCTGCTGACTCAACTGGAGGATGTCTTGGGCAGAAGTTTAGAGCAAAGCTGAGTCTTTCCAAACTTCTCATGAGGCTCAATTTCTCTGCCATGGTACTCTAAATGTTCCGGATGCTTCATTGCTTAATCCAAGTCTATCCCTACACCTTAGTCCCAGGACCAGATGGAAACCAGTGACCCAGAGGGGTGGATAGTCTGCAGAGCCTGTTTCCCTCTGTGTTATGCAGCCTGAAGCTCACTGAAACCACAGAGCAGGATGTGAAGGGAAATAAGAGTAATTAAATGTTATATTTTTCAGTCCTTTGAGCTATCTGGTTGCTTGCAACCTCACACTGGCCTGGAACCAGCAACCAGAGATGAGGTTTCCCAGCCTCCTGTGAGACTGAGCAAGGAATGCTCCACAGGCAGCACCGTCCTCCTCTCTCTCTCTTTAGCTGTTCTCAACTTTGACTGTCCTCGCCAGTCAATTTCCCACAGCTGGAAGCAGTGATAAGTAGAGCCATAAGCCATGGGTTGGACACAAGTTGTTCTAAGGCTCTCCAAAACGGCTGTGCACTTTGCCCCTAGCTTTTCCTTTATCCCAATTGTGATTTTAACCTAATCCTTTCTTGAATTTAGAAGAGGAGCCCTGTGAAACTCCTCTCCATTCTCTGAAGGGAGAAGGAGGATGGCATCTCTGTTAGCTGGTCTCCCACTCCCAGCCCAGCCTGATCACTCCATGGTCCTACTATTAGCAGAAAGAGGTGCTGCCCTGGAGCCACCAGAAATCAGGCTGGGAGGTCATGGAGAAAAGGACTGAACTGAAGGGTCCCTGGTGAGCAAAAAGAGAGAGAAATGAGGAGGGCAGGGGCAGAAAAGTAGTCTCTTGCTTGTGACCTCACACTGGCCTGGAATCAGCAACCAGAGATGAGGTTTCCTTCTTTGCTTTAGGGGAGCAAAGCCAGGCACTGGCTGAGGATCTGCACATACAAAGCTAGCTGGCAGAGGCCACCAGGACATGATGGCATGTCAACAGACTGGGTGAGAAAGGCCGCTGCTAACAAGACCCCTTAGCTCAGTAAAGGAGGAGGTCACACACCAACATCTAGAAGGTGTTTTTCTTTCTCAACCGGCCAATGCAGAAAAGATATGGCTTGGAGAATGAAAGTCAGATGTGGCCCACTCCACATACACCCACCAGTCACTCTTCCTGCACTCACCTTGGAGCCAGAACTGACTAGGGTGGCCACTCCACTCTGTTGACTGCTGGCACCCACTGAGAGGGGAGGTGGGTTCGGCAAACTGGGCTGGGCAGCAGCAGGCCAATAATTGCTAGAGGAAGGAGTGCTGGGACGGTCTAGGATGTCATCCATACTGTGACTGCTTCGCAGTGGGAAGGACCTGAGCAAGAGGAGAAGACAGTGGAGTGAGAGTCAAAGAGCAAGGAATAGGGAGCAGCACAGGTGCTATCCATGACATGTATCTATGGGATGTCTCTGGAGCAAATACATATGGCTTGGACTGGCCCAGTCACAGTCACCTTTGAGAAGGCATTGCACATGTTAGGGCAAGCCTGTGAGATCTCAGGGCATGGCAAGGCTCTCAGCAGACATCCCAGCATGAGAGCACTGCAGCTCTCCATGGGGCACATCACAAATAGGCACCTTGCTGGAGTTAATGACCTACCAGGAGCCACTCGAGCTCCTGCCTGGTCAATTGGTTTCATGTTACCTGGTGGGTGGCTCCTCCATCTCTCTCACATCCTCCAGAGGCTTGACATAAGCTTCGGGGAACCAGCCACATCTAGGGCACAGGAAGAGAGGTGAATGAGCTCCCGTCAACCATGGCTTGTGGTTCTTCAGATACAGCTGCCCAGTACTCCTCATCTACACCCATTCCACACGTCAGCCAAGCCGCTGCTGCCGCTACCACGTGTGACAGGGTTTCAGCACATCTTTGACCCCTAGGTGCGGCATGGGGTTATTGCAAGGCAGTCCTTGAGCCTGGAGCAGGACTCGCTTATCTCAGAGGATGTGCAAAATCCCTGCTCCTGGCAGCAATGCTGGAGCAATCCACGCTCTGACTGAGCACGGTCACCAAGGCCAGCACACAAGGAAGCTGTGGAAATCCCTTCCCCTCAGGGCAAAGCAGCTCCATCCCAGAAATTCCCCCAAAAAAGAAAGGCGCTGCTTTTGCTCATCTCACATCTGAGCGTGAGCTTCCCTGCAGAGCACGGTGCAGGGATGCCGTGTGGAACAGGGCAGGCTTTGCGCACAGGTGTTGGCCAGCAGCTCTGCAGAGAGTAATTCAGTAAGCGCCGGGTGCAGCAGTTTCCATGCCCTGCCTGTGTCGGAGGGTGCG